ATATGTGTGTGTATCTATATAGTTGAAGACAGAATTATTAGCCCCCCTTTGAATTTTTTTTTTTTTAATGATGTTTCACAGAGCAAGGAAATGTTCACAGTATGTCTGATAATATTTATTCTTTTAAAGAAAGTCTTATTTGTTTTATTTCGGCTAGAATAAAAGCAGTTTTTAATTTTTAAAAGCCATTTTAAGGTCAATATTATTAGCCCCTTTAAGCTATAAATTTTTTTCGACTGTCTACAGAACTAAACTTCAATATACAATAACTTGCCTGATTACCATAACCTGCCTAGTTAACCTAATTAACCTAGTTAAGCCTTTAAATGTCACTTTAAGCTGTATAGAAGTGTCTTAAAAATATCTAGTCAAATATTATTTACTGTCATGATGGCAAAGATAAAATAAATCAGTTATTAGAGATGACTTATTAAAACTATTATGTTTAGAAATGTGTTGAAAAAATCTTCTCTCTGTTTAAAAAAAAAAAATAAACAGGGGAGCTGTTTATGTAATAATTCTGATTTCAACTGTATATATTTTTTCTGTTTTCACATTAATTCTGAAGTTTTAGATTTATTAAAATTTTTATTAATTTACTTTTATTTTATTTTTAAGCATTTTCTATATAATTTTTTGTCTTTAGTTGTAGTTATTTTAGCACTTCAAGTTAAACAAAATGGTGAAAATTTTACCTTATTTTACATTTTTAAATGTATTTTCATAAAGTTTTATCATTTATTTTACTTTAAATTCAATAGTGGATTTTTAGTAAGCTTAATTTTAGTTTACAACAATAACCCTGATGTGTACTGCTTTTTTTTTTTCTCATCAGTTCCATCAGAGGCTCCGCAAAACTTGACTGTTCAGTTAAACAATTCCATGCTGATAATCCGATGGGAAGCTCCGCCTCCTGACAAGCTGAATGGAATTTTGCAAGGATATGATGTCACAATTAAACATGGGACACACACAAACACGGTTAGTGATTGCATTTGAATCTAAGAAAAAGTCGCTCATAACAAGATTTTTCACTCCTAACTTTTTGACACTTGTACCACTCATGCTAGTATTTAAAGATCTGTAGTCGCAGCTTTCAGGTCGTATTTTCAAAATATTATTAATAACTTTTTTTTAGATTTACAATTAAAGAATATTTTGGATTTTATATTAAATGTTAAGATTTTGAATTGACGTTTTCATTCATTCATTTTCTTTTCGGCTTAGTCCCTTTATTAATCAGGGGTCTCCACAGCGGAATGAACCGCTAACTTATCCAGCACATGTTATACGCTGTGGATGCTCGTCCAGCTGCAACCCAGCAGTGGGAAACACTCATTCACACACATACAGCTGGCACTCGAACCAGCGACCTTCTTGCTGCGAGGCGACTTCGCTACCCACTGCGCCACCGCGCCACCTTTTTTGACGTTTTCATTATTATTATTATTATTAGTGTATAATGCAGAGTCATTATTATACAATAACTATTGCAGTCAGTTGTCGTGGACCACCACACATTCTACAATGCACTGGCCCCTTACGGCTCCCCCTGCAGGTGGCAAGCCTGCAGGAGGATGGTCCCACATCACTCTTTCAGGCTGAGCCCAGCCGGGTTCCCTGGGATAAAACCTGGTCACCAGGTGCTCACATATAAGCCCCAACCCCAGGCCTAGCTCCAGGGTGGGGTCCTGGCTGCGCCATACCGGGCAGCGTCACAGTCCTTGATGTTTTTTCGCTCATAAAGCGTTTTGGAACTGCACCTGTCCCCCCCGGGGACTTTTTTGCTTTTGGAGACCCTACAAGGGAATTAGGCCCAACAACATCACTCTAAGGATCACTCAGGCACTCAAACCCCTCCACAGTGATAAGGTGGCGGTTCATGGAGGGTTCGAGAGAATGCCTCAAGAGGATGCCTTGAGAGGATGCCTCCTGGACGCCTACCTAGGGAGGTGTTCCAGGCATGTCTCACTGGGAGGGGACCTCATGGAAGACCCAGGACATGTTGGAGGGACTATGTTTCTCGGCTGGCCTGGGAACACCTCAGGATCCCCCCGGAGGAGCTGGAGGAAGTGTCTGGCTAGAGGGAAGTCTGGGGTTCTCTCCGGAGACTGCTGCCCCTGCGAAAAAGACGATTAAAATGAATGAATGAATGAATGAATGATTGAGTTATTGCAGTTTTATTTGTTTTAGTGTTGGTGGTGTAACATCATTTCTATAATTTCTCATTTACTTTGTGTTCACAGCCAGGATAATCATCATTCATGGTTAAAGTAGAACATAAAAACAATACAGCATTAAAAAAAAACATAAAAAAACCTCCTGTAAAAACATAAAAATCATATTTTTAAATATTATTGAAGCATTAACAACAAAAAAATGTATATAAAACATTAAAAATGGCATTTTGTATTTATGTTTACAGGTAAAAAAAATAACTTGACATTTTTAAAAGCAAAGGCTGATAAAAAAAGCCAAAAACAAAATTACAAAAATTAAATAAAAAATCCATGTAAAGTAAGATAAGAGAAAAGTGTTTGCTTGTTTTCCATCTATCCATCCATCTGTCCATCCGTCTATCCGTCCCTTTATCCGTCCACACACCTGTTGTGGAATAATTAAGTTGTTTTGTGGTGCTCGGAATAAGAGAAAACATCCTCAATAGACTTTGTAGTAAGTAGATGGCCCTTATGCACGCATTTATGTTTTATTAGCTCTGGTGAGTGGCTCGGAGCAGTGTTTTTATCAGGATTGTTCCACAGACATGGTGAGACAACAGTTCACTTCAGCAGCTGTGAGGAAATTAGCTGCAGTCTCTAAGATGAAACAGCTGCTCTTGTTTGCTAGATGAAAGACACTGAGGTCATTAGTTTTTACTGTTTCCTTCAGCCTGCTGGAGTTCAGCTGAAAACTAGATTCTCCCTCTAGCAGACGCTCACACTAACTATCTATCTATCTATCTATCTATCTATCTATCTATCTATCTATCTATCTGTCTGTCTGTCTGTCTGTCTGTCTGTCTGTCCGTCTGTCCGTCTGTCCGTCTGTCCGTCTGTCCGTCTGTCCGTCTGTCCGTCCGTCCGTCCGTCCGTCCGTCCGTCCGTCCGTCCGTCCGTCTGCTGTCTGTCCTTCATTTGTCTGTTTGTCTGTCCGTCATTTGTCTGTCTGTGCGTCCGTCTGTTTGTCCGTCCATCCGTCTATCCGTCCGTCTGATTGTCTGTCTGTCTGTCTATCTGTCCTTCGTCTATTTGTCTGTCCGTCCGTCTGTCTGTTTATCCGTGTGTCCATTTGTCCTTTGTCTATTTGTCTGTCTGTCCGTCCGTCTGTCCATCTATTTGTCTGTCTGTCCGTCCGTCTGTCCATCTATTTGTCTGTCTGTCCGTCCATCTGTGCGTCCGTCTGTCCGTCCTTCATCGTTTATTTGTCTGTCCGTCCGTCTATCCGTCTGTCCATCTGTCCTTCATCTATTTGTTTGTCTCACCGTCCTTCCGTCTATTTGTCTGTCTGTCCGTCCGTCCGTCTATTTGTCTGTCCGTCTGTCCATCTGTCTGTCCATCCGTCTGTCTGTCTGTCTGTTTGTCCGTCTGTCTGTTTGTCCGTCTGTCTGTTTGTCCGTCTATTTGTCTGTCCGTCTGTCCATTTTTTTGGTCTGTCTGTTTATCTATCTATCCGTCCGTCCGTCCGTCCATCCGTCCGTCTGTCGGTCCGTCCGTCCGTCCGTCCGTCTGTCAGTCTGTCAGTCTGTCAGTCTGTCTGTCTGTCTGTCTGTCTGTCTGTCTGTCTGTCTCTGTCTGTCTGTCTGTCTGTCTGTCTGTCTATCTATCTATCTATCTATCTATCTATCTATCTATCTATCTATCTATCTATCCGTCTGTCTGTCTGTCCATCCATCCCTCTGTCCTTCCGTCCATCTGTCTGTGTATCCATCTGTCTGTCCTTCTATCTATCTGTCTATCTATCTGTCGGTTAGTCAGATGGATGAATGAGTGGATTGATGGACAAAATAATCTAAATGCAATCTTGATTTTGGTCTCCAGCACTTATGACAAAACATCTATTCTGAAAAAATGATGACTGCATCACATCCCGCTACCTTTTCTTCACAAAGCTCAGTTTCACATAGAAATCAGTGAAATCAGGTAACGTGACTTTTGTAGAATGGGATTTTAAAAATGTGAAGTCATCTTTTAGCTTAAGGCAGAGTTTCTCAATCCTGGTCCTCGCACCCACCGATCTACATATTTTGCATATGAGTCAGACCACAACCTGGTCATTAGAAGAGCTCTGTGCATGAACTGTGTTCTAACTGACACGTTCCCTATTCAGTGTGCATCATTCCCTTGTCCCTTCTCTACAAGAGCATGAGCTTTTATTTCACTTTGAAACGTTCATTTACAGATTTACACAACAGCATCACCGGCAGTGTCTTACTATGGAAGCCTGAAGTGGGACATAATATACAGTTGAAGTCAAAATTAATAACCCTCCTGATTAATTTCTTTTTCAAATATTTCCTGAATGATGTTTAACAGATCAAGGAATTTTTCACATTATTTCCTATAATATTTTTTCGTCTGGGGAAAGTCTTATTTGTTTTATTTCAGCTAGAATAAAAGCAGTTATTAATTTTTTTTAAAAGTCCATTTTAAGGTCAATATTGTTAGCCCCATTTAACCTATATTTTTTTGGCTTGTCTACAGAACAAACCACTGTTATACAATGACTTGCCAAATTACCCCAATTTGCTTAATTAACCTAATTTAGCCTTTTAATGTCACTTTAAGCTGAATACTAGTATCTTAAAAAAATATGAATATCTAGTCAAATATTATTTACTGTCATCATGACAAAGATAAAATAAATCCGTTATCAGAAATGAGTTATTAAAACTATTATGTTTAGAAGTGTGTTGATAAACATATCGTCTTTCTGTTAAACGGAAATTGGGGGAAAATATACAGTGGGCTAATAATTTAGGAGGACTAATAATTCTGACCTCATATGTACCTCTGTGAATAAATACAATATAAATAAATAAACAAATTAATTAATTATTCGCTACTAGAGTTGGGTATCGTTTGGGGTTATTTCAATATTGGTGCTAAATCAATACTTTTAAAAACGGTATCGGTGCCAGATTGGTGCCTGAACCGATACTTTTTAGCCACAAAATGATTTGACAAAAAATATATATTTTAATCACTAAAATAAAATAAAAAATGTTTGTATATTTATAACAAGTTAAAAGTATAAGTGTCAAAAAGTGTTGATGAAGGCAGTCGCTCATTGGATGTGCCGTACTGCGTGCTTTGCCTTCAATATCTAAGCAACTAGAACAAACGCCTAACATTGTCGACAGTGTCCGTATCTCTCAAAGTTGTTTAGAATTATAAGTTAACTTGTATTTAATGTTTACAGTGCAGATCCAGTTAAATCCACTTTATTTGGTAAACAAATCAAGTCTTCTATATAATACATCTACTAAAATAGACAAAAGATTACTTTACAAACTGTATTGTGAATAAATTATATAAACATTTACATATTAGTTAATAGTATTACTGAAATTAATAAAAAAACTAAATAAATATAGATTTACACACATTTACACAAGTAAATAAACAGAATCAATGATTGGCTTAAAATCTGCAGAATTCTGCGTGCTCAGATTCCGTGTGGGCCTAGTTATTGCCCAGCAGGCACACAACGTCATAAGATGTTAATATTAGGTTCGATTTAGGTTGTGATATCAGGTGACCAAAACTCAATGTCTAGCCAGCGTTTAGGCACAACATTATTTTAATGTCCAATAACGACTTTAAATGACGTTGATATTTGGTTATTTTAGGTTGTTAAACAGTGACCAAAATTCAACGTTAAGACAACATCTTAATCTTATTGACGTTGAATACTGACATTTATTCATCAGGTATGGCAACCAAACTCCAACGTCTGATAGACGTCATGGTTACGTCCACACA